AACCTCAACCAAAAAAAAAAACACAACTGAAAAAAAAAACTGAAAAAAAAAATTTCTTTAAGTTCCTTTACTCTTGGACACTTATTGAACTTGGACATATTGACTTGGACATATTGGACATACCTGGACATATTGAACTATCCCATAGGTCGGATTTTCCGCCACCGGAGATTGGACATTTTTTTTTTCTTCTTTATTTTTCCTGCTGACCGACAAAGCCGTCACAGGGTTTGGACATTAAATTATTGCACTTTACATTTCTGCATTTTTCTTTCTTTCTTTCCAGGCGTGCAAAGCCGCTATTGGACATTATATCTATATACTATATATTATATATTATATCTACTATATATTATATATTATATATACTATATTTATTATACATATTATATTTATATATTATATATATTAAATATTATATATCTATATATTATTACTAACTCTTTTTATTTTTTTTAGTGTCCTCGTTGGTTTATTACCACTTGGCACTCTAACCACTAACTACTAACTAAGGTATCACTTGTCTCGGTGGTTTTTACCTCTTGACTTAACTGAGAGCCTTTTTATTAATTATTGTACATTACATTTTTTTTCTTTTCCTTCCCCCCTTTCCCTTCTCTTTTCCTTTTATTTTTTTCCCCCCTTTTTATTTACCTTTTATTTCCCTTTCCCTTCCCCTCTCTCTCTTCAACCCTCCCCAATCCCCTTCTTTTTATGCTAACACGTTCACGTGGGATTAATCAAGAAAAATTTTTCTTTCCAGAAATTGAGAAACATTTGAAAGAAATAAGAAAAAGAAAGAAAATGGAAGTCCCACGGAACGATGTTCGTGAAAATGTGCAGGAAATTCAGAGAAGACAAAATGAAGTTCCGAACAGGAGGACTCTTTCTGACTATGTCACTCCTCCTTTGGCGGAACACAACAGCATTATTCCGCCGGATGTCACAGCAAACAACTTTGAAATCAAACCTGCTGTCATCCACATGGTCTCATCTGATCAGTTTGGTGGAGGACCAACGGAGGACCCACACAACCATATCACCAAATTCCTCCGAGCGTGCAATACGTTCAAAATCAATGGTGTGCCAACTGATGCAATCAGGCTTCGTCTGTTCCCATTCTCTCTAAGGGACAAAGCTCAAAGCTGGCTGGATTCATTTCCAGACAATCACTTCACAACTTGGGACCAGCTTCACGGTGAATTTCTCAAGCGATTCTTTCCGCCTTCCAAAACCGCAAAGATCAGGAGAATGATCCAAAACGAGCCCCTTTACGAGGCTTGGGAGAGATTCAAAGATCTTCAAAGGCAATGCCCACATCACAATATCCAGTCCTGGCACTTAATGACGGCTTTCTATGAAGGCCTAAATGAAAACTCACGGATATTGTTGGATGCCTCAGCGGGCGGATCATTCATGAGCCTTGAACTTGACGAAGCTGAAGAACTCATTGAGCGGATCTCAACAAACAGATCTACCTGGTACTCTGACCGTCCATCCGCTCAACCGAAAATTGGAGGCATGTACGAAGTTGATCAAATGTCGGCCATGGCTGCTAAGGTCGATAGCATGATGAGCATGATCCAAAAGATTGCTCAAGTCTCTGCTGTGCAAAACACTACGCCAGCACCGCCTCCTGTTCCTGTTCTCATGTGTGTATCCTGTGGTGGACAACATGATCAATC